GTCTTTTGACCTTTTATTTTTTTGTTTGGTTTAGATCATGCTACTATTTCTAATATTTCTTGACGTTGTCTTATACAGAGTGAATGAGAAGGTGAATGAAGACAAAGAAGAAAAGATCCCTTATTGGCAAAGTAACATGTCTGATGACTTACCTCATTATAACGCCAGGTGCAATCTCTATAGAGATTTAATTAATACTAAGCTGATGGCCGTTGAAAATGTTAGTGTTGTAAACCACTTAGTCTCATATTCTTCATTTTGTAATTAATACTTAGTCCCATACCTGGCAGACTCTAATTGCTTATGATGCATTCATTTGATTATGTCGATATGCATGGGCTAGAGGCTGCCCTGAGGCACCTGAGTTTCTGCAAAATAAGTGCCTTCTACTCCAAGTGCCTTTGGGTAGGTTCCTTTTATTCGTTTGAACTTAAATTGTCCGAATTAACCTTTTAAGGATCTCTGAATGTTTATTAAATGCATAGGCTACACAAATTTTTGTTGCAACCACTAGGTGTACAACCAGTAGAAGTGACCACTACTAAGAGTGTAGAACAAGTTTCATTGAAGACAAAGAAAGTCGTAGGGAAAGTAAGAGTGGAACGTAAGGTCAAAGGCATTATGACAACTATATATAGAAATTTGATATTTGGGAGGATATATTTATCATCATTTTGTTATCTAAGTTCATTAGTTATGAACATGTCTTTCCATATCTTTTTAGTCTCTTGCAATTTAAGGATGAAAAGAAAACAAATTTCATAGGAAAACCTTCTGTAATTTAAAACCTAAGTTTTCGACGTGATAATTGCAGTGAAGAAACTTCGAAAAATTCCATCGCGGAAACTTAGGAGCATGTATTCATAGCGAATTGCCATGTACATGCAGCAGAGAATGTGAAGCATGTCTCATCGCTTGTGAAAACTGTTATGAATTCTCCTAAAATAGCCTCATTTTCAGTGACATCTGAAGGTTTGTGTTTGTTATGGCATAGTGTTTAACCTATATGTAAATTCATGAGTAATGAAATAGACCCACATTTTGAGCTTAAGATGAAACTACCATCTATAACAAGTGTGGACTTGACTGTTGCTGCTTTGAATGAATTTTGAAGTTATGCTTGTGATGATTGAATGATTGTGACAATTTAATTATATTACAACTTTCTCAATGAAAATCTGCCTACCTCCTAAGCAAAATATTCTGACACAGCTAATCTGTCATCTTTTTATATTTGCAGAACCATTATCATGCTTATTCCAGCTGAAGAGTGCTACAGAAGATACAAAAGTTGAACCAAGTTCCGCTATATGCTTGCACCCGGGATGTGGTGATTACCATGTCTTGTAAGTTGCTATCTTATATTTTAGACTTGGGCTCATAGTCTTTCGGTGGCAGCCAGTTTAATCACTTATCATAATTCATAAGCAATAAAAGCTAGTCCTATGTGTGCCCATATTATACTTAAATTCATTCTTGATATTCTGTAATGTGGTCTCTAAGTCAAAACATAGCTTGGCTGTGTAAATGAGAGATCACCTCTAAGATGAGAGTTATTCTTTGAATGGTAGAAAAAATCTTACACTTACATGTGCTTTTAGTTTCCCATAGACTGAAGGTGACATTCTTTTGGTGGAAGTCCAAGATAAAAAAAAATCAGTCCAGGGCTGAGCAACAATCCGAGTTTCATCCTTGAGTGATAATCCCGTATATATCATCATCTATCTTCAACAATCATGTTTTTTATTGGATGAACACTATCAATCCCTAAACTGATGTGCTTGACTGTCCTCTGCGGAATGAGAGAATCAGATGGTGGCCCATATGCCGTGAGGTTGAAGAATATGTCGGGAAGATCCAGCTAAATAATGGAAGTACAATTACTAGAGAAGAGACAAGTCAGATAAAGGTATTTTATTTTCCACCTCAAGGACAATTCAATTGACTTAATTATAAGTGATGATTTATGATGAGAGAACTAGATATGCTGTATGGAATTTGCTTGAAAAAAGACCTTTTATTTGATTTTATAAATGCAGGTGTTTGCATTTAAGTGCATTAACTGTATTTTATTGAATTTTATGATTATTAAGTTTCCGGAGTTGTTCTAGGAGTAGTTCAAATTATAGTTCAGTTTTCTATTTTATATGCTAGATTGTGGTTCTAGCTGAATGATATTACAGATTGGGATGATTTAATTTAATTTCATTTTGTCTAAATATCATTGCCTAATAACAATTTAGTTTTTCTTTTTTTTTTTTCGTCATTGACTTTTATGATTATTAAAGTTTCTGGAGTTATTCTGGGAGTCATTCAAATTATGGTTCATTTTTGTTTTTTAAATGCTAGCACTAGATATGTGGTTCTCAGTTTCAAAAGTGCAATGACATACAGATTTGGATGATTAATTTAGATATCTTTTGTCTAAATATCAAATGATAATAATTGAACATGATGGCACAGTAAAACTTTTTTTTTTTTAATTTGGATGTTTATATAATTAGTAGTTAGTTATTCAGTTTTCAAGACCTACAACAAGAATTTCCTTTCACATCATAAGCATGGACGGTTGTGGGGAGCTTGACTCGATTGTTTAAGTATGTCTATAAGTATCTGAAAATATATGTTGAACATGCATGCAGCATGAATATATGGGTGAGCTTGCAGGAGTATGCATACAAGTGTCTGAAAACATATGGGTGCAGGAGTATATTTCACCTATTAGGTTTTCCATCTTTCAGAGTGGACCTGTTGTGGAGACTCTAGCCTATGATCTACTTCTAGAGGCTTCAACGCATGCACAACATTTGCATTCCCGAAACTTGAGGTTACAGGGACCCTGGCAGTGGTTATTGACAGAGTTTACAGACTACAACGGAGTTTCTGATTCATATACCAAATTGAGGTAGTTATACTTATACTATTCTTTTTCACTATTACCATGATTTCTATCGTGCTACTTGTGATTTCCTTTTAACATTTTTACTCCTTTTGGTTTCTTGGTCAATACCTATTACACGTCATGAATGTGGCCACACCAACAAAAGATTGCTTGGATCTTGTAAATGAGTTGCTTGTACCCATATTAAAGGCAAGGAGTGAAAAAAACTTGACAAGACAGGAGGTAAGTATCTCTGGTTACAGACTGTGTCAATTACCTTCAAAATTATCTCATGGATGAATTTTATGTACGTCATAAAATGATGGTAATGAGGGGTGCCTTGGAGCATTCAATTCACTTGTATTGAGCTACTTGGTTCATTGCCCGATTCCCATGACATATTACCAAGTTTAGCCTAGAATGTTCTTTAACGATTACCCATTTCACTAAAAATGCTTAGTAATATTGGAGTTTCAAAAACCTTGATTGGGTTCTTTTAAAATTCATCACTTGAAGCCATTGATGAATATTAAATTCAATGGTATATTGGTGGTAGCATGTTATATAATTACAGTGATCATATATTTAAAGTCTTGGGCATCCTATCTGCCTCTCACGTGAGACAAGAAGTTGTTGCTTGGGGAGCAAATGAATGGGATCACGGTCATGTTGAGAACAAAGTACAAAAATTACTTGCAGGCACCAGTGGAGAAGCTTGTTAACAATGTAAGTCCTATTTAAGATGATTTCCAGGTCACAATTTTTATATACAAAATATAGTCAAGATTATATCACCATCCTGGAATATAGTCAAGATTATATCACTAAAAATGCTTAGTAATATTGGAGTTTCAAAAACCTTGATTGGGTTCTTATCTTAGAAGTGATATTGATTCAATCAACCTTGAATGCTTCATTTGATGAATAATTAAATAATCAGATGGTGATATTGGTGGTAGCATGTTATACAATTACAGTGATCATATATTTAAAGTCTTGGGCATCCTATCTGCCTCTCACGTGAGACAAGAAGTTGTTGCTTGGGGAGCAAATGAATGGGATCACCGTCATGTTGAGAACAAAGTACAAAAATTACTTGCAGGCAACAGTGGAGAAGCTTGTTAACAATGTAAGTCCTATTTAAGATGATTTCCAGGTCACAATTTTTATATACAAAATATAGTCAAGATTATATCACCATCCTGGAAAAGCAATTCTGATGTTGGACAATCACTCTCGAAGCATTGTTGAAGACCATGTGCCAAGCTATGTCAAATTAATGGTAAGAATAAAGAGGTCTGAGGAGTCATCTCTAAAATGAATACCTGTTCAAATTAGTTCTGTTCACCTGGAGTTCAATGATCATCCTGATTATTAAAAGCACTTTTTAATTTTATTTTTATGAGTTAAAAGAAAATTGCAACTTACTATATTCTTCCTATTGCTACTTGTTCATCCTTGAGCTCATTGCATCATGAAAAAAAACTATAATCAGTGCTAAATGACTGTTTCAGACACAAGCTAATCGGAATACAAGACTGAAATGGATTCTGGAGGAAATAAGGGAAGAAGATGGAGAGGCTGAGATCCGCGAGAGAATGCAGATGCTCAGTTCACAACTGATTGACTCTATAGCTAACATGAGGTCTTCACTAGTCGGATATTTGTAGCAACCTGCCGCGGATTTTGAGATAGGATGGGACAGGTGAAGAGAAATTGTTAGACCAGATTTGACCTTTTTTACTTAGCTTTGTCTTATTTTTAACATGTTTTAATTTACTATTGTACCAGATTGTATTGAAATTTCTTGAAGGCAGGAAGGAAAACCGAGTGTGGTATAATGGATCATATTATGCTCTTGGGGTAAGTCGTCCACCAGACAAAGTCCAACTTCATTCAACTGCTTATATGTTAATGAAAGATCATTTCCAGATACCATACTATTTTCCAATAGAAAAGGCATAGCATTTCGATATGGTTCTGACGACCACGAGTTTTGGTCATGATCTTCATGGGAGTTATGCCAACACTAGGATGCAGTTATTGCAGATTTGCACTGCACAGTCTCAAAACAACGAGACATGGTTATGCTTTAACATTCTTGTTAGGGGCATTTTAGTGTTCAAAGAGCAAAATAAACTTTTCTTCCAGAGCACAAGTAAGAGTATTTTGATCATTTTGACCGAGTTGACATATTAAGCCGACCTAAAATCTCAAAGTCTATGTCAATTTATCACCTCAACATCCTATCCGCTAACACATGGAAGTGCTGACTTGTCATCCTCTAATTAAATTTTCAATTGTCAACTCAACTCAAGCCTATAAAATCAACTATATTCTCTTTACGCCGACTTCGGGTCACTTAAACCCAAAATCTCCCATCACACAAGTATAAGTAGTCTCATCTAAATATTTTTAAATTAATTGAAAAACTCTTTAACTGAGCTCATATTTCATCTTATTTTCTTTCCCACTCCTTGACAAGCATTGAAAATATAAACACCGAAAAAACTCTTGACCTTTGTTGTTGACCGATCTCTATTCCTTGTGTTTTTGAAGTTTTACCCCTCGCAGCAGAGCACAAACAATTCTTATGTTTCTCTTTTGTAGATACTGGATGACACCTTTGCTTCCCAAACGCAGCGGCTGCAAGGACCAAGAAAAAGATATTGAGCTTCCACATTCTGTAATTGAAACTCGGTTTATTCTATGTAAAGACACAGCTACTGCAACGGATGCATCTACCTACTTCTCCATTTAATACTGATACTTATGCAGCTGCAAAACAAACCTAAACAGAGATGTTAATATCAGAAAAGAGTCGGATTCGGTTCGTCTACTGTCTACTTATATTATACACGTACAGAACAAGAGTGTAGAGTCACGAGATTTCAGTGCACAATTCAGTTTATATGTTCTTTTTGCGTATGTAAAATACCCAGCCCTATGCTGCTGGAACACACAATATAAGATAAAGAGTATTCTTGTTTAGTTTGTCACACTCAAAACTAGTTGTGTTCTTTGTGGAAGTAAAATTCTATGAAAATTGCATTGAAATGAGATCATTGAGGTTCAGAACATTGAAATAAGTTGACTGAAGAAATATTGGGGTTTTTTTTTTGGCATAAAAAAAATATTGCTGCCTTAACGTTTCAATGATCCCAAGTTCCAAAAAAAAAAAAACTACTTGCAACCCCTTGATCGAGTGGTTAAAGGAAGAGTTATGATATATTTTAAGGTTTGGATTGAGTCCAAGCAACTCAAGCCCCCACCCTAATATAAAAAAAAACATGGCTAGACTGCAACTTGTTAAGATATTAAGCAGCTTGATCACTAAATATCTTTAAGAACATATAGCCAAGCCAGTATCTGAGAAAGAAATTCCAAAATTATGTGCCACTTCACCTCCTTATGAGCAGTGCTAAAAACTGAGATAATCAGCTGCTTCATTTGGAAGGCTCTGTGCCACCCATGGAAAACAAACAAGTGAAAAAGCTGATAGTAGTAACAGAGGGCACCGACACATTGAAATTGAATCTGGAACCAGTTCAAGTCCCTTTCCCCTGTTGAATTTGTTGAAGAAGAGATGCTGCCAGCTGTAATGTTGCTTGCAAGCGTTTCTGTGGATCGCCATCACTTTCTTCCTGTATACCAGTACCATGCAGTTGTTGACTTCTTTGAGCTGCTTGAAACACTGCTGCAGCTGCATTTGATGTCTGCTGCTGCTGCAACTGTTGCACTTGAGAAAACTGAGATGTTGAAAGCTCAGGAGTAGCCTGATTATTTTGTAAAGCATATTCCTGTGATTGTCTCAACATGTCGAACTGGTCCTTTGTATTTGTCTGCCGAAAATTCTGGCCCATTGATACATTTGGAGTATTTCCCACCTGTCTCTGCTGCCCAATAAGAGATGATGCGAGTTGTGCTAGTTGTTCTGGTTGTAGGGCGTTAATAGGCATAGATAAAGGGACTGAAGATTTGATTTCCGGCATAGTGGGCTTGCTATTTCCAGATAATGGAGTACCTGAGCTTCCAGTGGTACTAGAATATGTTTCTTGCACTGCTCTTGGCATAACTGACTGATGCCCTTGAATTGCAGAATCAAAAGCACTACCGGAAACTTGAGGAGTATTTCTGGTAACAGAAACTGGATGCTGCAGATCATGAGACGACCAGCTTGGTCCAAACACGGCATTTCTCTGGGATGCATGATCATGCCTGTGCTCATCATACAAGTCAGATACATTTCCAACAGAATGAGCTGACTCGGAAAGTGAAACAGATGGAGCTGATGTAGCCCCATTCCCTGGATAGATGTCTTTAATTCCTGGCATACTTAATTCTGGATAAGATGTCATAGAAGGAAATGATCCTGAAATTGTTGATGGCTTTGCAAAAGATGTATCACCATGAAAAAGTAACATGTTTGCATCTGTTCTTTCATTTGGATGAGCAGACCCGAAAGTGGAACCAGAATGCTCTAATCTCAAAACAACACCTGAAATGCTCAGTTTCCCAGGTACTTTCAGTACTTTCTCCGAAAAATCTGATGGTGGCACAAGAAACAAGGTGGTCTTATCATCTAATTTAGCAACAGCTGCTCGCTGCTTCTCTCCCAGGTAATGCATGAATTCATTGTAGAATCCCATGTCAGCATCACTTTCAGGGACAAAGAAAACAACCCAAGCACTAGATGCTTGATAGTAATGCTTTGCAAGCATGTCCAGAGCAGTCCTTGCTGTGCAATCTAAGAATTCAGGCCTGCAGCATCAAGGTAGGGCTAATCAGTAATTTGTTTTAAGTCCAAAGGATAAGTGGGAAATGGAAATGGGCGCTAGCAGAAATACTATGTGATACTCCATGAAATAAAAAAGATTCATTCATTTTTTCATGAGAAAAAACACTAACTTTTTCTTTGTCAAGAAATCTAAAAACATTAAACAACAAATACTCGCATTACAAGTACTTGCAGAAATCCTTCAACTCCGTGCCGTATTAGTCAAATTGGATAATAAATAATCTGTCAGCTAAAAACTGATACATTATCAGTCAATTTATGGCTTGAAACCATGAATTGATTAAGGGAAGCAAAATGGTACCATTCCATTGCATGGGAAACCTATTTTAAAGCTACCGAAGGACTTAATAACAACTAGTAATTAATCAGTATAGTGCCATGTTATCTATGAGAAAGGATTTTTTACTACTTACAACATGATGTCAAGGACTTTTCCAACAGGAAAGCAGCGAGCACGACAGACAGGAGTTCCACCCTTGGCTATTGTCCCCTCCCATTTCCACTCTTTCAAAGATGGCTGATCCAGTTCAGGAGTAAATCTTTTCCTCTCGATTGTATTTGATTGTAGAGAACCAGGTCCGACCTGAAAACCATCATAAGATGGTTTCCAGTGTTCATTCCTCTCCCCACGAGTTGGAGCTAAATTCATTGGTCGATCAGGAATCTGTTTATAACCCAAAGCTGCGGGTTCAAAATTGTTATCAAAGGCTTCAAATTGAGGAATGCTGGAGAGTCTCCTTGGAAAAACGTGTTTTTCTTGTTCAAGATCAGATAAAGAGTACTCTGGTAGCTCTTTCTCGGGAGGAAAGGAGCCAGTTCTCAATTTCTTAGCTCCATGGACAGGATAGGTGTCTTCAGGCATATCCCATGGTTCTTCGTAGAATGCACTTTTTTGAGGTAATTTTGGAGGAAAATCATGAAATCTCATTGGACTTTTACTACGTTCATACACTTCTTGTGGCAGTCGAGGATCAGGGCTCCCTTCCCCAAACCTCCAGGCTTCATATGTATTCCCACCATTCAATGAAATACCTTTCCTATTGAAACTATAGACATCAACATCATCCGAATCAAAATTTGGCATAAAAGGAGATCCAATGCTTGCATCTTCTGTTAAGTCTGCAATATTCCTGTCATCCAGAAAGTTCTCAGAAGACCCTAAGCGACCATTTAACCTGAAATGCGGTGAGTTGGGGGCATTCACTGAGCGTCTTCCACTGTTGGATGACCCGCCCTCACTCTTTGCAAAACAAATATGCACACGGGGATTCCCAAATAACTTCCCCTGAAGAGTTTCTTTTGCCCTGCATGCTGATGTTAAACTCCTAAAGCGAACAAAAGCATAACTACGTCCTGGAAATACAGTAATCTTCTCTATCTCACCAAATGGAGAGAAAGCCTTCCTCAAAATCATTTCATCTACTTTCAATAATGCTGGAAATCCTATCCATAGGACCTCACTGGGATCTGCACTTCTATCATTCGCCTTTGATTTGTCAGGGGCAAAATGTTCAGGACTAGCATGACGTGCTCTAGGGTCCCTTGGTGAGAAAGGTGACCCTCTTACTGTAGAACGTCGCTCGTCTCGACGTTGCAAGTTGTCCTCATTGCTTGATGGTGTTGATGACTTGTCCTGTGATTAAGAATATCACCAGGTAAGGGGAAAACCAACCCTTACTTTAAGCAGTCTTATATGATTTTAATCCAGATTGATCAAGTTTAAAATAAAAAGGGTAAAGACATCCAGTGGATGGATATGGAGAAAGAAATGAAGTTATGCCTCCATATTGGTGTATGCAAGAATAACCATTTCCAGTAGCAAACACGCTCTACAGACATTGAACTATGGTATGGAAAGCTTCTGTAGCCAATGAAAAATAGCCAGCCATTGCGTCAATTATCCTCAAGATCCGCTGTAGTCAAGGTGGAAGTAAAAGCACCACCTGATGGGGCATTGTCTTGGAGGATTATGACTAAATTTATCAAACAAGGCATCTCTTTCAGCTAAAAAGAAGTAAATAAATATGGAGTTCAAAGTTATAGGATCTTTTTCTAAACATATTCAATAAAGATAATTTTAACAATTTTGCCTTTCAAAAAAAAAAATTTATCAGATCTTTCAGCTGTATCAAGCAAATGCCAGATGACAGAACAATATCATGTTGTGTTTACCTGCAGCCCCTAAATTGCTAGAGTTAATTATCTGCACAGAAAAATCCCTATTTTCCAATTACAATAAACCATGTCATGCATTAAAGTACATACTGTCGCTTGCATAAAAGATCATAACTTGGTAGATAAACTAAACAATTGTAAGTTTCTAACATCTCTAACTTTACAAACATGACCCATTTGAACTTTACCCTACCAATTTACTAGTTCAAAAGCAGAGTCATTAGCCTCAAATTCCGGTTGCTGCACAACCAGAAAGTGGTCATAACCTTGACCTGATTCTAAACCTGATTTTACTTATGACCATAGCATACCCATCAAAATGTTTCTTTGTCAAAGGATCAACTACTTATGACCTCACAAAATAAAAACAAAAACAATTCGAGCCTCTATAGACTGTTACAGAAGGCAATTTGATTTCATTATTAGCACCTGCTTCTACTCACTCACATGCCTACTCCAAATCTCCTAATAAATAGTACAAAAGCAATTAAACTTCCATGAAGCGAGCCCCAGCAAAGAAATGTGACATCGATAGTGCTCAGAATAGAGGTTAAAAACATTGGTAAGAAGCCAACAACACTTTCCTTTACGCAGAAAGGACATCACCTAGCTCTAACTACAAAATATTCACACACTCACACACACAAATCTCATCATAAGCCAAAAACTACGCCATGGATTCACAGCACGGTAATGCACACATAATTGAATTGTAAACTGCCACAAGCACAAATACTTGTCTACTCCTTATAATTTGCCAAGAAGACAAACAACAAACATATAAACCATGCTGTGAAACTGATTGATGCATCTTCATGAGTAGAAAGCATCAATCTTGTGAAAATGTGTAGGTTTTCATCACTTCTTTAGTAAATGTGATCACTGAGATTTGCAGAACAGCAAGTCAATAATAGTTCCCAAGTCTAATCCTGCAAACCTTGCTCAAAGAACTCTTATCATAAGATCTTTTCATATTGGAGAGTTGAGTTATAAGAATTGAAGAAATCTCTAGAATAAAACTATTTTATTCTTCTATATTTTTCTTATTACAATGCTAGAATTGCATGAAAATATATAGGCTAAAGACTGAATATTCTCAGCCTTAAAACCCAAGATTTTCATGCATTAAAACAGCTAATCAAAGGAGTAATTTACTCTCTACACAGAATGGGAAAATATCTAATGGATTTGATGTAATTACTCAAATCGCTCCATATTCTAAAAATAAGAGACTTAACTAAAATAGACAAAGTCAATTAATCAAGTAATAATGAAGATTAGATTTCCACAAGAATATTAAACAAGGAAAGAAATGCTAGCCTGCTCAATGTATAAATATCAGCTGGCTATGTGCATTGTCTTTTGTTTATACTCAGAATCAATCAATTATAATCTTGAAGACATATCAGTTACATTCAGGGCTACCCAGAACTCCTACCTACAACTGGAAATATAGAGAAGAAAGTTTTTAAAGTAATGAAGCACTAAGGCTTGCTTTATTTTTATATGTCATTCTGATTTTGCTATCTATTCCTTCTGTTGCCTTTTTTGGTTAAATTGAATCTTGAAAAACAGGACAGGCATGTAAGATAAAAATTACAACGTTTAATAATCATTTTAACACAGAAAAGCCTTTTTTATCATTCTAACTTTGCAATAATAGAATAGCAATATGAACTTAAAATAAGAATGGTTGTTTTAGATTGCATATGTTCACAAGACAAGCAATGTGTCCTGCGGTAAATCAATGGCAATAGGAAGACAGAGTACTCATTTTTAACTTACATTCGATGATGTAGCAAGCTGAGAGTAATTTCGGAGTTATGCTGTCCCAGCTAAAATGGAAACATTTCAGAGAAAAAAAAGTTCATATGGACCCTCAAAGCAAGCTTGGCCTTTTGTTAGCGTTAGAGAAACATGCTGGTTTCCAAGTTTGGCTACTTTAAGTTATACTGTGAATATTCAGAATTTTGGAGACTCTGTAGGTTAGGAAAATGGTCAGTTTTATGGCTTTTGTTGCCACAGATTATACCATCTGCTCCAAGTTGCTTGCTGTTAGAAGAGACCTCAATGTTCACTACCTAAGTATCTAATCAATCACCCTCCTTCAATTGAGAAAGACACTGTGGTGCTGCTTATGATTGAATTGCTTAAAATGCAAAGGACACTTAACAATTCTATCACTTTATCATAAAAACAATGTCAATAGTCGTCCTTCCACAGCTTCCAGTTCTCCAAGATTAGGTTTTTGAAATTTCAACTTAGATCGGTGCTTCTATTCAAAATCTAGTAATCGTCAATTCCGGTCATTGTCCTCCTTTTCTCTTGGTTTCTTTCCTATATCAGACTTTATCTTCGACACATATTATTCTTCCATTATCTATTTATATCTTTCAACAAGGATATCATATTAGAACTCAAGTAAGATCAGTTATTGCCAGCAAGAAAAAGGTTAATGACTCCTGAAACTTGTTAACATTATATTATCACCTGTTCTTCACTCAGACTTAAAAGGGAACACAAACCAAAGTATGCTTCAAGATGTAAGCTGACATGTGAATATTCAAGATCGAGTAGGCACAAAAAAAGGTTCTAGAATAATTGTTAGAGAACAACCTACTTCACCAGAGATCATATGTTTATTTTCAAGTGTCTGCCGGTGTGATCATTCGTATGGGCTGTGGAGGTTAATGGAGATATCTTTATTGAGAGCAGAGGAAGAGCTGTGTCTTAAGTAAATTTTCTATTCTTTCATGTAAAAGGAAATTCAGATTGCAGCACGGGACATGATTCCAGTATCAACATTATTGATGATGACCCTGGTATGTAGAAATTCAGCTACTGAAATTTTCAAAAGATTGTAAAATAATTAAATGGTAAAAGCCTTTTTGTCATACTCTATTAAGGACCACCACTGGATTGCAACAAAATCCTAGGGAGTTTACACAGACACAATGTTTCTGCAACCAACCTGTATGGCAGATACGTTTTACATGGTCAATGATGTGGCGATAAAATTATGTTACAGATATCCTTTTTGAATTACTACCCGAATGCAAGATCTTCATTTTAGGAGTTATGTTTCTTTGTTCAATTTAAATATGTTAGAAATGATATTGTTCTAGGTCAATAAGCTTTATCCATCATATTCAACAATTTAAATTTCAAAAGTTGACTTCCCAGCATGATTAAGTGCAATGAATTGATCTGAAGAAGTATTGCAGCAAACATCTTTCCATAAAGAACATCTATTTATTATGCCTGTTTTGCTTGGCAATATGCATGAAAGAATTGCACAAGATGGCATCAACACCGAACCACATTGAATGCATAAGCAGGCTCCAGAAAGATATGAGCTAGTGATTCACTTACAATAAAAAAATTACTTTTTAAAGTTAAAAATCCACATATAAAACACTGATTAATTGGTCTGAAATTGGTGACAGTTATCTGCTAATCAACCTTTTCAAGTTACCAAAAGCTATAACTTGACATTTTATGGATGGTAACTGGTGCAGTTTATGATGAGGAGTGCTCGGAAAGAACAGAGAAAATAACAAAGCAAGGAAGGAAGGTTATTGACAAAAGAATGCATCCATTGTAATGGAGAACCCTCTTTGAGTTTTATTGTTAAACAAAAATCTTTTAAAACCTGAGTGTGCATTGGAAGTAAATAGCATTGTTCCACGGATTGCATCTTCGATGAAAGTGCAACTAACATGTTGTAATCATGTAAGCGGACAGAAAGACTAATTTACTTTTGTTTTTCATTTTATGTCATTATTCTTGAAATGATTGAGATTTATGAACCTGGTAATGTTTTAACAGTTGCGGTTATGAATACTCTTAAGGCATAATACTAATAGCCAAATCAGAAAAGGTGTAAAGCCTGTTGTATGCATTTGGGAAGACCATGCTAAGCCTTATCAAACTTTTATCAGTTGCTATTTACAAATGCAAACTCTGCAGATGAAATGGTGCAGCAGTGGAGGGTATTAGTTTCTTAAGGTTGCTGCTATTGGGAGAAAGAAACAAATTCAAAAGGACTTCCTCAAAAAGAACAATATAATTTGAGGAAGTGAAATTGAATCTTGATTATGTTGTTTCACCCTTATTCCCAATATGATATTTGTTGTTATGGAATGAATCCCCAAGAATATAAGCATCTGAGGTCTTTTGAATTGCCAACCTATAATTGTTCCATTATTTCTAGAATTTTGATGGAAATTGCAAGGAATTCACAAGCAATTGTTCAACTAAATTTAAATTCATTCCAGAAAAAATCAACAGTATCAAAAACAAAAAAGTAATAGAAGTAATAGTTCAAGACTAACCGCCTTGGCAAACTCAATCCTAAGCGGATTCCCCGCGACGGGGAAACCTTGAAGCGCCTTCATAGCGGAAATAGCTTCTTTTTCGTTCATGAAATTGATAAAAGCGTAGCTTCGACCTGGCTGGAAAGCCACGCTCTCTAGTTCCCCGTATTGCAAGAAGTGGTCTGTGAGGTCCGGCTCTAGTATACTATGCGATAGATTCCCCACCCAAAGGTGTCTCGACGGCGGCGCATTGCTCCGCCCCGAACTTCCCGACGGCAAGTGGTCACGTCGCGAACGGTCCCTAACTCCTCGGCCGGTCTGAAAACAATGAATTGACATAACAAAAAGATGAGAGATGATTTAAGTGAAAATTAAGAGAACGGAGATGATATTGGAGTTGAAAAATAACTGACCATGTGGAATTTTTTAGAAAAAATTTAGTTTTTTTTTATCGATTTAGGGTTTGAAAATCTGGACTAAGAAAGATAGGGAAAAGGCTTGCTGTTTATCCATTTATTTATTTAGGGTTTGGGATTTGCAGAAAAGTAAAGAAAATATTTTTCTATTATAATAGTGACGTGGCAGTGCCACATCCACCATAATTTTCCTTGTCTTCCCTTGCAGCCATAGTCCTCCTCTTCAGTCATCAATGCTTAAGGAGATCTCAAAGCATTTTCCAGGATTTTCAATTTTCACGAGAAACAAACAAACAAACAAAGTTCTAATAAATTTATTATTATCTTTTAATCTGCCTTGATTTTTAGATATTTTAAAGATTGTTCCTACTCAAATTTTATACTATTACAAAAAAATAAAATAAAATAATAATAATAATAATAAAGCTATTAAGTGGAAAAAAATAATGCAAATATTCTCTATGGTTGTTTTACTTTGATGTCGTAGATTCCCGAGAAACAAACAGAAAGTGGAAAAAGCCTGCCCGGGCCAACGGTCAATTGGGCCTAACCCACTTTTAATTTGGGCCATCAATTTCCAATCATGCCCAACTAAGCTTTTTTTTTTTTTCCTTTTTTTCATTCAATTGAGTTTTATTTTAATTATTAAATTAATTTTCCATATATCATTATTATTACCTTTTTAGGAAAAAAAATGGTTTGAGAGTTTTGGTTTATAAAAATTGTGAGATAAAGGGATAATTTTGTCAATGTACTGTAATTTGATTGAAATTTATCATTTTATTTTTAATATTAGTGATTTTTAGATAAAAAAATAGTATAATTAAAATACATCAAGAAATATTTTGTTAATGCAAATAAAAATTTTCTATATTTTACATTCAATTATAATGATTTTGAACAATGGTAAATTTTCATCATTTTATGTTAAAAAATTAACAAATTAGAACTAAAATGATAAAATTCAACAAATTCAATAGTAATATTCAATGTTGATCCTTAATGACAAAATATCATGTTATAAACTCTAACAATTTATAAAATTAAATTATCTATTGCATGTATTTTTTATTTTTTATTTGGATTATATTATATTTCGATTAAAATTTTGATTGATTCAGTTTTTAAATTAAATTAATAAAAAATTAATTTTTGTTAAATTATTTTCGTTAACTTATTAATATTAATTCAATAAATGATTAATTAACCGAATTAAATTAATTCAATTAAAATCGAATTACGAACAACTCTAATAAGTTCTAAGCCCACTGTGGCAACATAACAACTCTGCATAGTCAAGTTGTTGGTATAATTTTCTGAAAGAAAAAATCAATCTCTTTTGCAGGACATTTGGTTGGGAATGGCAACAGGGTCATCGACACAGATAACCATGTTTGGTGTAGGTGGAAACTTTATAAAAATTCATATCATTACTCAATTTTTATAATGTTCTATTCATATTTCCAGCATACTTAATGTGTGACTTTTGCTTCTTCTTCATGGATTCTTAGTGTGTTCTTGCCATGGCTGTACAGATCAGCCTTTATGTTGCAGGTTTGTTATTTCAGAAAACTGGTCTTTTAGACACATATATGGCAGCAGTTTTATATGCCTGCAAATATCAGAAAGAATACTTTATTGTACAGATTATTCTGCTGATCTTGCGAGAGGTGGGGATGTTCATAATTTGATTTTAACTGAATTTATTAATAAAATTGATTTAATTCGATTAATTAGTCGGTTATCAAATTAATTTTGATCGGTTATAAAAAATAATTTAAAAATAATTTTGATTTTTAATTAATTCGATTCGAAAATCGAATTAACTGAAATTTTAATCGAAATATTATAAATTTATATATATAATTAAAAGTATATGAAATTATCTATTTTATTTCAAGTTATTAGAGTTTTTAACTTAATACTTTAGTATTTAAATATTTTTATTGGATGATTTTATTTAATTTATTTCACATATAAAAAAATAAAAATTTAAAATTTAATTTAATATATTTTATTATTTGATTAATTAAAAAAATTAATTGAAACGACCGAATGAAATCCCTAAAAACAGAGAACTTCTGACTTCTTTAAAAGACTCATGCTCATTATTTGCTATTTGATAGTAACAGCAAGTTTCTTCGTACATGTAGACATTGATTCAGTCGGTAAGTTATCATCCCCTTCCCCTCTCACCATGTTCATGCACAACGGACATTGACCTACATGTGGTTTATCAGTGGATAAACCCATCGAAAATGGCGATTAAGGGAAGTAGTTGCTATGTGATGGATCAGCCAAACCAACTGCTACATTTGACAAGAAGGAAGAACATGGTTTTTCCCTGTGCAACTTACAGTCTATTAAAGGGTTCAAAGATGGTCAGTGTTGAAGAAGTTCACTTTCTAATTTTATGGTGATGGTGTTGTTTGGTGCAGTTCATGGCAAAGATAGCCAAAGGATACTTTCTTCCTGCTTGACAGATTATTGTATTAAAGGATACAGGACTGTAAGTGAATAAAATATAAATTAATTAGGATCGATAATTCAATTCGTCTTCGATAAATTTCGATTTGATCCGATTTCATAGGATTAATTTTTTTTTTAAATCAAATTTTGGGTCAGGTTTGATATAGAAAAATTAAGAAAAAAATCGAGATCAGTTCGGGTTTTAGGTAAACTCGACTTGACCTGACTTAATATTATATAAAAAATTATTTTTTAATTAATTTATTTATATATATTTAAATATTTATATTTAAAAAATAATATTTATATTTTAAAAAAATAATATTTATATATTTTTAAAATAATATTTATTAATTTAGGGTTTAGTTATGTGCGATTTATACAATATCAGGTTGGATCGAATTCAGGTATAGAAAAAAATTAAAAATTTTTTTTGATTTGATTGGGTTCGGATTTGATTAATATAAAATCGAGTCAGGTTTCGAGGTGAGCAAAAACCTGTCCCATCCGAACCATTGTCAACTCTAAAATTAACGAATAAATATCTATGATTTGTTTATTTATTTTTAAAAATATTAAGTTAGCGATAAAAAAATTATTTTGTTTATTTCAATTCAATTCGTTTAAATAGTAAAATATTTACATTTGATTTATGTCCTATTTGATTAAGTGAAATAAGCTCGTTTATGAGTATTAAACGAATATATGTTCATAATATATATATATAAATAAATATGTTCGTGAACAATAATTAAACTATAACTAAATAAATTTAAACAAATAAATCGTAAATAAATATAAATGAATCCAAATGAATATAAATAAATTCTTAAAATAAAATTAAGATAAAAAATAAAAATATAATTTATTATTATTATAAATAAATTTTAATTGATTTATTTATCAACATAAATAAGCCAAACATATTTCTCTTCATGTTTAATTCGTTTAAAAATAAATATAAAAATATTATTAAAAATTATTTATTAAGCTTAATATATATAAATGAACAAAAAAAATTTTTGTTCATTTATATTTCTAATAAAATATTATCGAATAGATGTTAGCTTTACACTGAAATTTAGTGGTTAGGACTGTCGTGTGTCAAATTTTGAAGAAATTCACAGGAAACCTTCATCTACTGAGATATTTCATGGGCAAGTTTGATTTTTTTTTTTTCAATTTTTGTCCCCTTTTTCCTGCATATGATCCGGAAAGTTATAGGTTTGGCACTTGTTTATCTGCTGTCCGTTGCACTGGCATGTTTACTATGAAAACAGCATATCCTAGCAGATTAATTTTATTGAAAAGAAAGAAAAAAATAAAAAATAAAATTGTATTTTTATAATATGATTAAAAAAAATAATGCGTCATCATTTCATCTGACAATAATTATGTCTCAATTTAAATGTTAGTCCCAATATTTCTTAAAAAAATGGTTAATCCAATAATATATTTACACTCGAAAATATTATATTATACATTTTTAAAATATAAGTATCATATTAAAAAAACAAATATGGCATTATTTTCTTTCAAATCTCATACCCTAAAAAAATAAAATAATAAAAAATTTATGAATTTTATTATTTTATTTAAATTCTCTTTGGGTTTCAAATTGTTTGAATATTATTGATTTTTAAGAAAATTTTAAAAAAATTTAATTTGATATTAAATTTTAAAATTTTTATAATTAAAATTTCATAATTTTTTATATTGAAAAATAATAAATCATAAAATAATTTTAAAATATAAAAAATAAAAATTTTAAATATTCAAAAAAATAAAACATAATTTTAAATCATTTAAAAAAATAAACAAACAAAATGAAACAGAGAAATAAATTTTTATATTTTTATTTCATCAAAATAAAATTTTTAATTTATACTTAAATAAATACTCAACTTTTAATTTATATTTAAATAAAATTTAATTTTTAATTCATATTTTTATCAAAATTTTAAATTTTTTCTAAATAAATTTATACATAAATTAATTTTTTAGATTTATTCAAATATAAATCAAAATATAAAAATTTATTAGGATACAAACCATGAATAAACAATAAGATTTTTCTCTCACGTTTCTCTCTCACGGTGCCACTATATATATTGACGAGTCACGCAGGATTTTCAAACGCTTAATCGATTTAAAAAAAAAAAAAACTCTAAATTCTTCTAAAAAATTCACCATGGTCGGTTCACTTTCAACACCAATCTCATCTCCCTTCTCTTATTTTCACTTAAATCATCTCTCATCTTTTTATTATTTCAATCCATTGTTTTCAGACCGGCAACAGAGGCGGGGACAGATCGCGACGGGACCACCCGCCACCGGGAAGTTCGGGGCGGAGCAATGCGTTGCCGTCGAGACACCTTTGGGTGGGGAATCTATCGCATAGTATACTAGAGCCGGACCTCACAAACCACTTCTTGCAATACGGGGAACTAGAGAGCGTAGCTTTCCAGCCAGGTCGAAGCTACGCTTTTATCAATTTCAAGAACGAAGAAGAAGCTGTTTCCGCCATGAAAGCGCTCCAAGGTTTCTCCGTAGCGGGGAATCGGCTTAGGATTGAGTTTGCCAAGGCGGTTAGTCTCGAACTACTGCTAATATTACTTTTTTGTCCTTTTGATGCTTTTGATTTTTCTCGAACGAATTTAAATTTAATTGAACAATTGCTTGTGAATTGCTAGCAATCTCCATCAAAATTCTAGAAATAATGGAACAATTATAAGTTGGCAACTCAAAAGACCTCAGATGCTTAAATTCTTGGGGATTCATTCCATAACAACAAATATCATATGGGGAATAAGGGTGAAACAACATAATCAAGATTCAGTTTCACTTCCTGAAATTATATAGTTCTTTGCGAGGAAGTCTTTTTGAATTTGTTTCCTTCTCCAAATAGCAGCAGCCTTAAGAAACTAATACCCTCCACTGCAGCGCCATTTCATCTTCAAAGTTTGCATTTGTAAATAGCAACTGATAAAAGTTTGACAAGGCTTAGCATGGTCTTCCCAATTGCATACAACAGGCTATACACCTTTTCTGGTTTGGCTGTTTGTATTATGCCTTAAGAGTATTCATAATCAAAACTGTTAAAACATTATGAGGTTCAGAAATCTCAATGATTTCACGAATAATTGCGTACAAAAAAAGCAAAACAAAGTAAATTAGTCTTTCTGTCCACTCGCATGATTACAACATGTTTTGCATTTTCGTCTAAGATGCAGTCTGTGGAAGAATGCTATTTATTTCCAATGCACCACTTAGGTTTCAAAAGATTTTTGTTTAACTGTAAAATGCAAGGGTTCTCCATTAAAATGGATGCATTCTTCTGTCCGCATTCTTCCTTGCTGTGTTATTTTCTATGTTCTTTGGAGCACTCCTCGTCATAAACTGCACAGTTACCATCCATAAAATGTCGAGTTATAGCTTTTAGCAACTTGAAAAGGTTGATTAGCAGTTAACTGTCACCAATTTCAGACCAATTAATCAGTGTCTTATATATGGATGTTTAACTTAAAAGTAATTTTTTGGTAAGTGAATCAGTGGCTGCTATTTTTCTGGAACCTAGTTATGCATTCCATGTGGTTCAGTCTTGATGCCATCTTGTGAAATTCTGTCATGCGTATTGCCAAGCAAAACAGGAGGAAGAGGAGGAGCATGGTGGTGGTGGTGGTGGTGGTGCCACTGATGGTAATGGTGATTATGATAATGTTGTGGTTCTGGGTTCTGTTGAGGAGGTGGATAGACATGCTGGAGGAAACCATGCTGCTGGGCCTGGCGGAAACTGTACTGTTGTAGATTGGTTAGAAGGAGAGTTTTGTATTAGCTGTAATGGAGGAAGTGGTCAGGTTTTGGTTTGCAGCGAAAATGGCTGCCCGGTTGCTATACACAAGGAGTGCATGAATTGTGAACCTATATTTGATGAAATAGGTAAATTCTACTGCCCTTATTGTTGGTACAAGAGAGAACTAGCAAGGACAAAAGAGTTGAGAAGGAAAGCTATGTTGGCAAAGAAAGAAATGTTAAGCTTTATATGTTTGAAAAGAGATGGTGGAAATGAAGAGAAGCAGGAAGATGAAACAGAAAACATGAAAGCAGCAAGTATATCAACAGTGGCAGGGGAAATAAATTCTGGTGATTGTGAAAATGGCCTGAATGATGATGATAATGAGACATCACATCATAATCAGAAGGAAAAACCAGGTGTTGAGTCCATAAGCAAGGAAAAATTTGATGAGGAAAGTATATGTAAAACTCACAGGTTTGATAATATTGAGGATGGAGAAAGAATGGCAGAGGAGGATATAGAAAATTCTTCCGATAATGAAGATGATGAAATTGATGAGGATCAATGGCAAATACAACCATCCAATCCAAGCCATTTAGAAATTGTGAAAGATACACTTAATTTATCAACTAAAGAAACTTCTGACGTTGAAGGTGCATTGGAAGGGAACCAGGGGAAAAGGGGGAAGGAAGAGCCAGTTCTCCCAAATGCAGTAGGAACTACTATAACACTAATAACCAGAGATGCTACATCCAAGGTGCCTGCAATTGAAAGTTTTGAGTTTGTATCACCTGATTTGGATACTGGGACACTCGTAGTGCATCAAAAGCGTGTCAAACGAACAGCTCAGAGGGCACAACCTCAGAAAGTTGATTCACCAAAGAATCCATCCTTTCAACCAATTACCAGTGCAGAGGATAAGAAGACGAACCAACAAGGAAAAGCTACAACAGCAAAAAACTCTGTCCAATGCCAGCAATTAACCAAGCGAAAGTAAGTTACTATGCTCTTACATTGTGGTTAAGGAAGGTAATATTCATAAAAGGATCCATGTTGGCCATGGTATGTTTTGTCACCAGATCATAGTTAGTGCTGTGGTTATTTGTAGACTACTATTATATTGAAATTACCCTTTTTTTTCATCTAAATTGCAGCATGATCCCGATACTGGGTACTGAAAAGCGTAGGAGGTTACACTGGACAGCTGAAGAGGAAGCTATACTGAAGGTATGAGATGCTTTTGCTGGATTTTTCCGTCTGTAGTGTCTGGGCATGCCTGTGTCGGGGCTACACTGAATGGGACGGGCAAGTTAGCTCGATTTCAATAATTATTTTTCTTTGTTCCATCAATATCTTTTCTTGACTGTCATATTTTTGTACTGCAGGAGGGAGTGCAAAAATTTTCGAATACAATGAACAAAAACATCCCCTGGAGGAAAATTTTGGAATTTGGTCATCAAGTTTTCGACACAACTCGTACTCCAGTTGACCTTAAGGATAAATGGAAGAAGATTATTTCCAAAGAGGCCCCAAAAAAGTAATCGGAGGTACTGATTACATCTGGAGGTAAAAGGGAATGTTTTTAGTTGTAAATATGTTTATCTTGCTGCAATTATCGCTTGCAAAACAGGTGCGTAGCAGGGTGCCTGATATGTGAAATGTAGAAGTTACTGTTCTATAACCGGATAATGTTTTTTTGCTCCTTTTTTGCCTATGTTGCTGCATTGTTGTAATTTTTTTGACAAATGGATAAATCTGGATTATAGAATCTTTTAGTGACCCATTTTCACTTGATTTGGTGTTTATGATAGAGATTTACTCTGCATCAAACTTGGCCTGATTTTATATAATATATATTCGAATTTGATTTGATTTAATATTAAAATATTATTTTTATAATCAACTTATATATACATAAAACCGTAATTAATTCGAATTGATAAAAAATTAATAAAATATTTTTTAATATAAAATATTATTTTTAAATATAAATATAAAATTAAATAAATAATAAAAATATTTTATATATTAGGTTGGATTAGGGTGAGTTTGTTTAAAACTCAATCCGACATAATTTTAACTTTTTTCAAAAAAATTAAGGCCAGTTTTCTAAAGTGCTATAACGTCAGCATCTTGCATAGATTTTCTTGCCGGTTCGAATCTGATCAGGGCGATCCTGGATCGATAAAAATAACCTAAGGTCAAGTTCAAGACATGAGCAACATGGTTAAAAGTTACCAAGAGATTAATGCAAATATTACTCTCTTTGATCAAATTGTAATACTCTGAATCTTTGTTACCAATAAAATCGAAACAATTTTTGGATTTATCAAAAGATCTTTTCAATTGATTAGAATTCATAAAATTATATTAAATATTTGATTATATATTCATATCTTGTTAAAAAATCTGTTTACAAATCATACATTGTCTAATCGAATTCAAATCTGACTATTGTAAAACTGCTTTTAGATCCCATAAATCAATTAAAAAAAAAAAAAAAACTGCAGCTGGTTAAGAGAAGATGGTGAAAACAAAAGTTGTGTAGTTAAGATGAATGAAGCAAAACATCATCTGGGCATATGCATCTAAAGAAAACGATATCGCGTTGAGATTGCTCTGTTGCTCAAAGTAATTTCTCTGACGCTATCTTCAATGAAAAATTATTCAAGTGTTTTTCCTTTTAGAGTTTGAAGGGTCACATTTTCAGCATGAATTTGCCTTTTTTATACTGTAAGGCTTACATACTTACATTGGTCATCAAACAAGAAGACGAGTATAAAATGGGAATGGAGCAAAATCCCTGGAGTGATTTGACTGTAGCTAAGATCCTTGTAGAAAATATATGTAGTTTCATAGAAATCAATTCGTCATGTTTTTTTCTTTGGTAGAAACTTTTTAATAACCAAAAGTCCGTCTAAAATAGAACAAAATATTGTTGGCAAAGATTAACCTTCCAATATTCACTCTAGTCATCAGGAAAGCTGACAGACTATTTTCGAGGAAACAGCAAACCAAACTCAAGGTCAAGTTTCGAACACAACAAGGGAAGACTTCAGAGAAGAAAATCGTCCCAACCGTGCCAAACGTGCCATTGCATCAAATTGATGGTTGAGGTTATGAATATCGCAAGAGATCACAATTATGCTTTATTGTTTAATTGGTATTCCTTCTTGTCACATTGATAATGTTGGTGGTCGACACCTCTCTCTCTCTTAAATGGTTTAATCCTCAATAGCTTTAATTACCAAAAATTAGTGAATGGAAAAAAACCCTTGCAAGTACAAGTTAAGAAAGCTATACTTAATAAACGGAGATAAACAAGTAATTGGCTCAATTTTTTTGGTTACAAAATTTGTAGCTAGACTTTGACATTTCGAAGCTGAAATTTTCAGTTTCGGCTATTTCAATTCACACAACGATTATTGACAAAGAGGAATAATAGTGGAACAGTACTCTTAATTTTCTTCCTTGTATAAATGGTTAAGTTTTGCAATGCATGTTACAGGCAGTGGTAAACTACTATTACAAACCCATTGTTAACGAGAAGTGGCATAAATTATGCTGTCTATACTTTGCTACTAGCATATTTAACCATATCAATGACTTGGTGTCTGCATTCAGTAGCAGCAAGAATCCTTGAGTTTTCAGCTATCCAAGGTGCAATTCTTTACATCTTCTCATTTATTTTTAAAGATCACTATATAACTGATAAAATAACAAGTATTAAAATTTAAATTTTAAACTTATTAAAAAAGATAGTTGTATGAACAACTGAATTCAACTTCAACGTCTTTAACTATATTGTTTTAATTATTTAATGCGATACAACATTCTGATTATTTTTTATGTGCATTTGTATAGCTGAGATATGATCAAATATGTCCAATTTATTTTATTCTTTAATTTTGTTTTCAAACTACCAATCACAAAATCAGGTTCTAGAATAACCAGCATATAGGCTTTGATAAGTTATAATACAGTTTCCCCTGTTAAACCACTTAATCAAGTAAAACTACTGCTGCATGGATTGAAATTTGAAAGGATTTCATGGGTATTTTTTATTAGAACATTTAATCTTGCCTTTGTGATGATATGATTGTCTTTGGACTGCCAATAACAGGAAATATAGTACGTTTAAGTTTGGCACGTCGGAGTCTGAAGCCAGATCCTACATCCATGAATACACCACCGTTGGCAAATACACCTGACCACGTTAGCTAAATGTTCCGGAAGATGAGAGGGCATGCTATCCACTTGTTTTTGCTTCTATTTTAACAACAATATCTGCAGTAAGAAGAAACATCCTTTGTTTGAATTCATAGCTCTGTGAATTAATGTTACAAATGATCAATAAATGGCTATAAAAATGTTTCCATTAGTTTTGAAATGACCCATAGATTAGCATTATACATATAAAACAAATGCCTCTCTATGAGCCTGCTTTGTTTACAGGTATCAGCAGTTATGTAACATGCCATTATAAACTATAAATTTAAGAAACTTTAATTAGAGAAGCAACATCGCCATGAAATACATCACTTTTTATGATTTATTACCTAAAGAAAAAAAACCATAATTAGATACCTCAATTTTTATTCGAACAAATATTTTGCATCATTGACCAGACGATTCCATTCTGAGTCCGATCCATTTGAATAAGTTTTTTGCATAGTTAACTATGTTAATCAAAATGCTGATGCAGACAATCATGGCAAAAAATAATATTGGATATTTGCAAAAGTAGACTGGAAAAGTGGAATTTTTTACTTGATGTAGTAATTTTAATTTGTTAGCCAATACCTAGTTGTGAGTTAGTCAAATCATGGAAATCTGATAACAAGATAATAACCCCATTTATTTCATCCTAACCTAAAGCAATAAAGTAATAACTTGACTCAGCTTGACTCAATAAACAAATAACTTAATCAACTCTGCCACAGCTAAGGACCCATGCAGAGCCAGTTACCAAATCAGTTGGAGAAATAGGATTTATGTAGATAGACTTGAGGATTGGATCTTTCTCTAGAGATGCCAAAGGCAAAGAGCTGAAGATACTGTTAGGAGAGGTATCTGATGAATGTATAACTCCTGGGCATTTTTCATCTCTGTTAGAAAATGGTTTTTACAGTATTGTAGTCCATCAGATACAAAATGCTAATTTCACGGTGCCCATATTCCTTAAGGAGCATTTAGTTTGAGAAAATTTATAAATATTTTTTTGAAATATTATTGGTGGGTATTTGATTTTAATATTTGATTCAAGATAATTCGATTACGAGATAAAATAATAAATTCTCAACAGTATTCAAAATTTTAAAATCATAAATTTACCTCTTTTTACGATATTTTAAGATTTCAAGAAAAAAATTACCTTATTCCAAATTTAACTTAAATAAAAAATTATCAAATAACCATTACTTTTTTAAAAAACATATTTAAAAGTGATTGCAACTCAATTATAAATTTTTTAAAACTAAAAAAAAAATTTATATTGTAATTAATGATGTTTTTACAAAGAAATGCCTTAAATAATATTTATTATTTAAGTTATGAAACGTTTAATTCATGTTTCTAGGTTAAATAAAGAAGTGAAATGGCCGGTCCTAGGATCGCTCGTGCTACCTTGAAAGGACCAAGTGTTGTTAAGGAGATAATTATTGGAACAACACTTGGCTTATGTGCTGGTAGACTTTGGAAGATATATCACTGGAATGAGCAAAGGAAAGCCAGAGCATTCTATGACATGCTTGAGAAAGGTGAAATCAGTGTTGTTGCAGAAGAATAAAAGTTTGTCTTGTGAAATTGTGTCAAACTTTGGCTGCATTGCAATCTTTGTGTTCCCTTCATTTGGCTCTTAGATTCAAGATGAGCAAACTCAGTTTGGAGTTTTAAGAATAATTTTATTGTGTTGAGATCTTGATCACATATTTACTTAGCAAATCCAAGCGTCTGTTGATCTTGTGGCCTTGTGGTTTCTTCTTTTGAGGTTTTTGTTGCATCTCTTTGGTATGTGGTTTCTACTTCAAATATTATTGTAAATGCAACTTTCACTTCCAGACGAGCAAGTTGGCTGATCCTGGCCTCTGTGCACACCGGACGGGGCTCCATCCAACATGTCATTAACGTTGTAAAAGAATTGCAATTGGACGTTTCGGATTTCAGACTTGGAAATGTTTGATACAGTTTGAAGCTATTTAGATCAAGCCAAGTTTTTCTGGTTCTTTTTCTCTTCGTATTTGCATCTTAACAGGACTACAATACCAATGCATCTTAACTTTATTATTTAAATAACTTTAAATAATATTCTTAATATAAAAGAGATTATTTAAAACGTTTTTAAACAAAAAAAAATCTTAAATGATCTCTTTATATTTTATAATATAATTTTATTATTTAAGGTGTTTCTCTAAAAAAATACTTTAAATAATATTTTTTACAAAAATATAAAAGAGATTATTTATGATTTTTTTTGCCAAAAAAATCTTAAATAATATCCTTTATATTTTTATAATGTAACTTTATTATTTAAGGTATTTTTTAGAAAAAAAATGCTTTAAATAATATTCTTTATAAAAATATAAAGGGTCTTATTTAAGATTTTTTTTATTGAAAAATGCTTTAAATAATGTCTTTTATATTTTTATAATATAACATTATTATTTAAGGCATCATATATGTTAAAGATATTATAGTAATTATTCAAGAATTAATATTCATGAATTTTTTTAATCAAACGAGTGAATTTAAATATAAAATATTCTCAAAATAAAAAATATCTTCGAGTATCGCATTTTTTTAGAGATCATATTTTTTCTTAGAATTTAAGATTTTGTGAACGAATACCCATTAGCTAAATGATCGCTGTCAATCTTTGGAATGTTTCTCCTTACCAATCCTGCATCTAAAATGGCTTATCTAAGCAACCAAAAGGCACAATTTCTATCCTTCAGAGTACACAAGTAAAACAAATTGAAGAAAATTATAGACAAAAGGTTTAGTTTAAGCTGAACATGACCCTTTACAGCATCATTTATCTGGTTCTCTCTCTATTTAATATATTATACAACCTCAAAATATACATATCATATCGGCAGAAGACATTAAATAAAGGAAAGTGTAAGCAATATACTATTGCATTACTTTCTCAAGTATAACTAGTGGGGTGGCCAGGAAAGGATTGATAAAAGAAAGTTTAAGTGACAGCCAAACAAATGTTTTTGACATTTTAAGCATGTATTTGCTTTTTTTATACTGTTGGGCTCACATACTTGCATTGGTCATCAAACAAGAAGACGTGTATAAAATGGGAATGGAGCAAAATCTCTGGAGTGATTTGACTGTAGCTAAGAGCCTTGTAGAAAAAAAATGTGGTTTCATAGAAAATCAAGTCATGTTTTTTTCTTTGGTAGAAACTTTTTAATAACCAAAAGTCCGTCTAAAATAGAAAAAAATATTGTTGGCAAAGACTCTCTTCATATGTAAGACACCAAAACGTTCCATTTACTCTAGCCATCAGGAAAGCTGACAGACCATTTTCGAGGAAACAGCAAACCAAACTCAAGGTCAAGTTTCGAACACAACAAGGGAAGACTTAAGAGAAGAAAATCGTCCCAAGAGGGACGTCTACCGTGCCAAACCTGCCATTGCACCAAATTGATGGTTCAAATTTTCAGTTTCGGCTATTTCAATTCACACGACGTTTATTGACAAAGAGGAACACTAGTGGAACAGTACTCTTAATTTTCTTCCTTGCATAAATGGTTTAGTGTTGCAATGCATGTTCCAGGCAGTGGTAAACTGCAAATACAAACCCATTGTTAACAAGAGAGCTAAAGCATGGGAAGGAACGGCATAGATTATGCTGTCTATACTTTGCTACTGGCATATATAAAGATATCAATGACTTGGCGTCTGATTTTATTATCTAGAGTGTATAACCAGCATAGGCTTTGATAAGTTATAATACAGTTTCCCCTATTAAACCACTTAATCAAGTAAAACTACTGCTGCATGGATTGAAATTTCAATGGATTTCATGGGTATTTTTTATTAGTACATTTAATTTTGCCTTTGTGATAATATGTTTGTCTTTGGACTTCCAATGACAGGAAATATAGTACGTTTAAGTTTGGCACGTCGGAGTCTGAAGACAGGTCCTCCATCCATGAATAAACCCCCGTTGCCAAGTACACATATACACACTGACTAAATGTTCCGGAAGGTGAAGAGTGCATGCTATGCACTTGTTTTTGCTTCTATTTAAACCACAATATCTGCAGTCAGGAGAAACGTCCTTTGTTTTAATTCATAGCTCTGTGAATTAATGTTACAAATGATCAATAAATAGCTATAAATATGTTTCCATTAGTTTTCAAATGATTTTTTTTGAAAATTCTAAAACAAATGCCTCTTTATGAGCCTGTTTTGGTTACAGGTATCAGGAGTTAAGTAACATGCCATTATAAACTATAAATTTAAGAAAATTTAATTAAAGAAGCAACATCGATATGAAATACATCATTTTTTATGATTTATTACCTAAAAAAAAATCATAATTAGATACCTCAACTTTCATTCGAACAAGTATTTTGCATTATTGACCAACGATTCCATTCCGAGTCCATTCCAATGAGTTTTTTGCATAGTTAACTTTGTTAATCAAAATGCTGATGCAGACAATCATGGCAAAAAAATATTGAATATTGCAAAAGTAGATTGCAAAAGTGGAATTTTTTACTTGATGTAGTAATGTTAATTTTTTAGCAAATACCTATTTATGAGTTAATCTTGTCATGGAAATCTGATAACAAGATAATAACCACATTTATTTTATCCTAACCTAAAACAATAAAGTAATAACTTAACTCAGCTTGACCCAATAAACAAGTAACTTAATCAACTCAGCCACAGCTAAGGGACCCATGCAGAGCCAGTTACCAAATCAGTTGGAGAAATAGGATTTATGTAGATAGACTTCAGGATCAGATCTTTCTCTGGAGATGCGAAAGGGAAAGAGTTGAAGATATTGTTAGGACAGGTATCTGATGAATGTATAACTCCTGCGCATTTTACATAAGCTAATGCTTCACCTCTGTTAGAAAATGGATTTTACAATATTGTAGTCCATCTGATACAAAATGCTAATTTCACGATGCCCATATCCCTTATTGTTTTATTGAATTTGGGGCCAAATGACCGTAGTCAATCTTTGGAATGTTTCTCCATGCCAATCCGGCATCTAAAATGGCTTATCTAAGCAACCGAAAGGCACAATTTCTGTCCTTCACATTACACAAGTAAAACAAATTGCAGAAAATTATAGACAAAAGGTTTAGTTTAAGCTGAACATGACGCTTTACAGCATCATTTAGCTGGTTCTCTCTCTATTTAATATATTATACTACCACAAAATATACATATCATATCGGCAAAAGACATTAAATAAAGGAAAGCGTAAGTAATATACTATTGCATTACTTTCCCAAGTATAACTAGTGGGGTGGCCAAAAAAAGATTGATAAAGGAAAGTGTAAGTGACAGTCAAACAAATGTTTTTGACATTTTAAGTATGTATATGCCTTTTTTATACTGTTGGGCTCACATACTTGCATTGGTCATCAAACGAGAAGACGTGTATAAAATGGGAATGGAGCAAAATCTCTGGCGTGATTTGACTGTAGCTAAGATCCTTGTAGAAAAAATATGTAGTTTCATAGAAAATCATGTCATGTTTTTTTCTTTGGTAGAAACTTTTTAATAACCAAAAGTTCGTCTAAAATAGAACAAAATATTGTTGGCAAAGATTCTCTTCATATGTAAGACACCAAAACCTTCCATTCATTCCAGTCATCAGGAAAGCTGACAGACCATTTTCGAGGAAGCAGAAAACCAAACTCATGGTCAAGTTTCGAAAACAACAACAAGGGAAGACTTAAGAGAAGAAATGGTCCCAAGAGGGAGGTCTACCGTGCCAAACTTGCCATGGAACCAAATTGATGGTCGAGGTTATGAAAATCGCAAGAGATCACAAATCTGCTTTATTGCTTAACTAATTGGTATTCCTTCTTGTGATATTGATAATGGTGGTGGTCGAAATATATATATATATAAATATATGATATCTGGTAATAAAGTGTTAAATTTTTAGTTCAATGATTATGGTTTAATCTTCGATAGCTTTAATTACCAAAAACAGGCTTATGTCATTGAAAAATTATATCCGACATAAAAATTAGTGAATGGAAAAAAAAACCCTTGCAAGTTCTAATTAAGAAATAAAGCTATACTTAATAAACTAAAATAAACAATTGGCTTTCATAGTCTTAATTTTTCTGGCTTCAAAATTGGTAGCTAGATTTTGACATTTCAAAGCTGAAATTTTCACTTTCGGATATTTCAATTCACCAAACTTTTTTTGACAAAGTGAAATAACAGAGGGTAACAGTCTTAATTTTCTTCCTTGTATAAATGATTAAGTTTTGCAATGCATGCTATAGGCAGCGGTAAACTACAAATACAAGCCCATTGTTAACGGGAGAGCTAAAGCATGGGAAGGAACGGCATAAATTATGCTGTCAATACTTTGCTACTGGCATATATAACGATATCAATGACTTGGTGTCCGCATTCAGTAGAAGCAAGAATCCCTGAGTTTTCAGCTATCCAAGGTACAATTCTTTACATCTTCTCTCTCTGTCTTTTTTTTTTTTTTTAAACAAAGAAAGTCACAATTTAGGGATGACAAATGAAATTGTAAGTATTGAGATTTGAATCTTAAATTTGTTAAATAAGATAATTGTATGAACAATTAAAATAAACCTTGAATTCAACTTCAAAATCTTTAACTATATTGTTTTAATTATTTGATGGGATACAGTTTTCTGATTTTTTTTTATGAGCATTTGTATATATGAGATATGATCAAGTGTGTCCGATTTATTTTATTATTTAATTTTGTTTTCAGACTCCCAGCCACAAAATCTTGTTCTTCAAAGTTTGGCCATCTGAGTCTGATTTTATTATCTAGAGAGTATAACCAGCAAAGGCTTTGATAAGTTATAATACAGTTTCC